CATCTGGGCGGCCTGGAGAGCCTGTAAATGAGCGATCTGCATGGGGTTTAGCGGCTGGCCGAACATCTGCTGTTGCAGGAGCAGCTGGGCCTGGTTGCCCATTTGCATCTGAGGCTGGCCGCCGTACTGGAAGTTGCCAAGAGAGCCAACGGACTGGTTGACCGATCCACGAGTGCGGTGGCCAGGCTGGAAAGGAGCGGCATTGGCGGTCTGGTTCATGTTGAAGTTGCCCATGTTCTGGGACTGGTTGTCTTGCGTAGGCTGTTGCTGGGTGTTGTTCTGGGGCTGTCTCCAGTTGCCCTCGAAGTTGCGAGACTGGCTCCTGCCATGGCCTTGGCTGCCACGGCGCTGGAAGTCAGACTGCTGTCCGTTGTTCTGGTTGGTAGGGTTCTCGCTGGTAGCTGGGAAGGAGAAGGAAGGACCGCCACGGCCAGCACTTCCACCGCCGCGTCCGACAGCCATGCTCTGGCTGCGGCCGTGGGCACCTCGTCCACCACGGGCGGAAGTGTCGTTGGAAGCGCTGTTTCCACTGGGGCTGGCATCACGGTTGGAGCTGCCCTCGGTCGAGCCGGGGATGGGGAACTGGAAGCCCGAAGTCTTTCTCTTCGATTCGGCCTGTTCGGCAGCCTTCTTCGCGTCGGCGAGAGCTAGCGAGTGACGGCGGGTGTGTCCGGAGCCGCCAGCACTGCCACCGCCTCGGCCACGAGGGTTGACATTTTCCCTACCCTGGCCACCCTGTTGTGCACCGAATTCGCCGAAGCCAGACGAACCGGAGGAAGGAGCGGGGGGTGGGCCGCCCATGCCGACTTGGGGCAGGGCAGACTGGTTGCGGCGGTGGGCGCCAGGCTGGGCTGGTGCGCCCATGGGGACAGCGAGGTGTTGCTGCTGCTGCATTTGCTGCATCTGCTGGGGGAACTGGTAGTTGTTGACTTGGGGCGAGACATTGGGCATCTGGCCCTGCATCTGGAAGTTGCCGAGCTGCTGCTGCGGCTGGATCATGCCCATGTTAACATATTGCTGGTGCGTGGCGGCAATCTGCTGCTGCTGTTGCTGGAGGACCTCGATCTGCTGTGCGATGGCGAGCTGTTCCACTGTGCAGCTGTCAGCAATGGCCCAGAGTGGCTATCGGATAGCTTCACGTACTCATCAGCGGTGTCAGCTCCGACGGACTGCGGCGATGCGCAATGTGCAGACGACGACCGGCGGGACCCATGGGGCCCTGCTGGCCTTGTTGCTGATCCATAGTGGATAATGTAGTGTGGATGATTCAATGCCCGCTTGCAATGTATGCTGTTGGAGAAGAGACGGTCGGACACGAATTGGTCAAAAGTGTGATGGATTTATCTGCGGGCAATCAGCATGGTGTTGGAAAAGCGAGCGAGCGAAGGGATGCAGGTGGTGAGAGTGCAAGGAGGCAGATGGGGGACAGATGCAGGGTCGGCAGCGGCATGCTTCAGCGAGCGAGCTAGCGGGGGACAACTCACGTTGGGGTAAGCGTGCTGGTTGGGCGGTGCTCGGGGCGAAGAGGATACTCTCGTAGACGATGATTACTCGGGGTGGTGCTCTGCAAGTCAGAAGCGGGTGGTGTCGTGTTCAGACAGATGTGTCGTTGGTCTAGGAGGGTTGATAAGGAGGGTCGACCAGATCAAAGAGCGCGGTTTCCCTGGGGCGGGCTGTTGGTGGCAGTACAACCAAAATGCGGGCGGAGAGAGTGCTTCGAAGGAGGGAGCGATCGGGGCGGGCGGGCAGGAGGGATGCAGGAAGAGAGGGCAGAGGGCAGGCAAGAGGGCCGTCAGCGTGCTCGAGGTGGTGATGGCTATGGCGGGACTTGGCCAGCAGCACGGTTTGGGCAAAGATCGCCTGTTCTTCCGCAAACGAGCGAGCCTGGGAGAGGTCTAAGCGGCGTACGTCACTTGCGAAGCCAGATATGCAGCTTCCCGCGCCGAACTGAAGGAGTGAGAAATTAACGTAGATACAAGCAAGCGCCGGGCCGTGGGGGCTGAGGCGCTGCCGGCTCAGAGCTGGTATATATACCGCCAGCAGCAGTCGGCATGCGTCTCAGCGCGCCCCAGGTGAAGCATCACGTTTGGGTCTGTACGTTTCAAGGCAGGCTTAGCCGGCGCGCGTTTCTAGACACGAACAACAGTCCGCTGCAGCGTCGCGGGAGGGCGGCGCAAGGGTCGAGGTTATATTGATGGATCCACTGCGCTGGGGTTGCGAGCTTGTCATGTCCGGCATTCGATAGTCCAACAATCTGACAGATATGCTGGCTTCGCGCGCCATGCCGCGCTGAAACTCGAGGACAGGAGTCACATCGTTCCCCAGCTTGTCACATTCTGTCAGTGAAACGGCCCTCTCCAGGGCCTGCGCGTGCCCTCACAGCGTCGCAGCTTGGCGGGTGCAGTCCCACCAGCTTGGGCACAGACGCATCCTGTGAACTTTATGAAAGGCGCAACATGGCGTGTTTGCCCAAGGCGCGACTCAGCGTCCTTGACTCCATCTCATCTTAATCAATCGACGGCCCAGGTGGAGCTGCGGATGAAGCTACGTCAGACATCGAGCGAGTGCTTCGACTTCGAAAGAGCGCGACCCGTTGATGTTCCAGGTACGCTAGCCAGCACTACAATGGAGCTGCGTAGCGCGGTGAAAGCTGCTGCAGGGATGAGCGATGTCACGTGAGTCGGAGCTGGTCGCTGCTAGCTTCCGACTAGACTTCTTTGACCGTCGCGCTCTCACCAACCACCTTTTCAACAACTGCACCCTGACCCCAACTAACGTCACGGCGCCAGAATGCCCGCCAGATCGGGCACCTCGTCGTCGAGCATGCATACCGCCACCTCCTTCAGCTCCAGCTTCATGGACGCCTCGCCAACACGCCAATCGCCGAATCGCCGCAGCAGTCACCGCCAAAAGCGCGAATCCCTCATCCGCGACCCCTATGAGAGCCCGGCCAAGCAATTAGCCCTCGAGTTCAATCTCCGCCTCAGCATATCCGACCGCGAGTTCAACGAGAAGCTAGACCAGGCTGCGAACGAGCGCGCGAAACAACATGCCCAACAACTCGCCTACGCTGCCGAGGAACACGAGCGCGTCTTCAGGAGCGCGAAGCTTGAGATCGAACGCATTGCCCTGGAAGAAGAGCAGGCGCGCCTCCGCCATGAAGAGGCTCAACGGCAGGAGATTGAGCGCCTGAAGCAGGAGAAGGCCCGCGAGCAAGCCGAGGCCCAGCGAAGGGCTCTGGAAGCAAGACAGCGCGAGGAAGAAGCCGCCCGTCAAGCCGCAGAGCACAAGCTCAAACTTCAACAGGCCGATGCCCGCATCAAAGCCCAGCAAGAGCAGCAGGCGGCCGCTGAGAAGCAGAAGAGGGAAAAGGACGAAGCTGATCGGAAGGCTGCCGAGGCTGCGGCCGCTGCAGAGAAGGCTCGACAGCAAGCACCACCACAGCAGCCAACCGCTCAGCCCACCCCCGCGCCGGCTCCCACACAAGCAGCTGCACCACCAAAGCCATCCACCGCCGCACCGGCAACTAGCACCAGCGCCGATCAGATCCACGCCAAATACCTCGAACTCCACCAGCGCATGAAGGCCTTCCGCAAAGCTTTCTGGGAGGAACACAAGAAGCCAACCTCCCCACTCAAGGGTCCCGTTGGTGATGCCCGACGCGCCATCCGCACTCGACTTGGCCAGATCACAGTGGAGCGCAAGGACAGTGTCGCCGCCATCAAGCGCCTCCGAACCGAATGCTTCGACATCGCCCTCACAACACCCGGACCCATGGTCGACATCCGACAATACATTGTCTCCCACCAAATTCCCCAGCTGGCCAACGAGAACGAAGCCGCATACCCGGCGTTCCTGCTCTACGTCTGGATCTGCTTCGAGAAGTTCCTTGTAAAGCAGTTCGAAAAGGAGGCTGCCAACACCGACGGACGCATCATCCAGGAGATCGGTTTGATAGCAGCCAGCTTATTCGGCGACCAGAAGTACATGTGGAACGGCCTTCCTCTCATCGACATTGCGCTGGCCAAGCTACACAAGGCCTGCCCCCCTCTCTTTGGCATCCGCGGTACTATGAACACCAAGGAAGGTCGGTTGCGCCTAGGCTGGCAAGAGGACTCAACCCCAGAGACATATTCGCAGCGCATGCGCGGTATCGGAGCTGGCTACGCCTCTATGTCCCTCCGTTCATTCGCCGCCAAGGCGCCTGCCATCGCCATGTCAGAGTACTGGCGTGCCATCTCTTCGATATGCAACACACCCTCCGAGCAACTCTGGCCTGGACACTTCGCCGTTCTCAGCGGCCTGATCCGCGACTACCACAAGAAGTTTATCCAATTCTACGGCGTACCTGCGCGTGGCGTCCTGCGTCGCGCTGTTGTCGACCTACCCGTCCGTGCACCAGAGCGCTGCAAAGACGCCGCGAGTACCATTGCCGTGTACCGCGAGACCTGGAAGAGGGAGAAGTTTTCGTTGGATTAGAAGAGGAAGAAAGGCGTGTTGACGCAGATGGAATAGCATTGGGGGCTCTCCCTCGGAAATCGGCAATTTTTTTCATTGTCAACGATCTTTTGTCAATCTTGCATGGGACGGCGCATATCATCAGCAGTATGACCTATGGTCGTGGGTTGCATCTTTTCCTTTTCTGGTAGTTTCTCTTTGTCTCAATGGATAAGGAAGTCCACAAAGTACATGCGTAGAACAACGTCGTTCGCGACAACGAAATAGTCTCGCTCATTATCTTACCTATAGCGAGCATGAAATGATCAATATCGCCCTATCCTCCGCCCCTAACCTTCGTGATACTATACAGCTGAGCCTCCGCACTTCAAGAGCACCTACAAGGCTCTGAGCTTTGACGCCACTGTCTTGAAAGGTGAGAATACTTCCGAGTAAGCAGTGTGTTAGTTCCCACACTACTTCTCCCCTCCCCTACAAGAAAGACAAAATCACTACTCTGTCATTACAGTCAAAAACATTCCAACACCACTACTGTCATCAAAATGGGTACTCTTGTTGGCATGCCCGTAACTACCCCAAAAGGCCTTCGCTGGAAGAAGGACCGGTCTTCAGGGGTGATGCCCGAATGGACCACCGACCCCAGTATTGAGGACATCACAACCCTCGTGCGACGAGAGCTGAAGATCCCGACTTCAGACCCATGCGTAGTTCAATTTTCCTAACCCAGAACAACTTCGACAAGGATTACACCGTCACATGTGGCCGCGGCCAAGAATACATCCTGCGTCTAACCGTCCCTGTCGACGCACGATCAAAGACTATGAGCGAGGTGGCTACTATCGAGTACATCCGTCATCACACTGAGGTTCCAGTACCACAGGTCTTCTGCTACCAGGCTAATACCGACAACGAACTTGGACTTGAGTGGATACTTAGGGCGCGTATGCCCGGTCGCAAACTTGGTGACGGACATGAACTAAAACTGCACGACAACTGTATCGCCGCAAAAATTAACATCGCTTGACATCGCTTGCTGCCTGACCCTCCGAATAAGCGTGTGGGCGAATCCTTAGCCAACTACATCGAAAACGGAATAGCAGAATCGCCAGAACAGGGAAATCAAGAAAGTAACAATAAGAAGGGATTGGTGGAGTCCATACGTCTCGGGACGTCCCAAATTCCATCCTCAGTGTTAACACGGGGGTTCCGGCTCTCGGTCCCTCTCTGATACTTCCTTAAGATGCCTACCCATGGACTGCCTGGAAAGATATCTTTATTAACTGGCTTCAACCCCATCTCTTCCTCCAAGTATCCCGGCCAGTGCATGGCATATTGGCCAGCAATTTCCAACGATGTCTCCACCTTGAGTTGTGCAAGCCCACGTACAAACACGACGCTTCTGCCTAGCCCAATGTGATGATCCTCGATGACCTCTGCATCCCAGAAGACCTTCAGGTTTTGAATGTTGGTTGCCTCTCGTTGAAGTTTGTCGAAAAGCAAGCACCATCGCTGAGCACTAAGTGCGGCGTCGGTCGCGTCGACATGGACGCTAAGGTCTGAGATCAAGGAAGCGTTGTTTGTCTCGAGCCAGGTCATAAGAGCGTCAGGCTGCGACACATTGATAGTGAGGGATGGAAGGAGATCATCAGGTGCATCGTTGAGGGTAGAAAGCCGTTGTAAAGCAGGGTTAGTACCCTCTTTCCAGGAGTAGCCTTTCGGACGATGGAACAACATGTATGGAGGGGAATACATCATGAATTACGATGATGCTACCTTTTTTGGAGATAGAAAGGGAGGAAGAGACGTTAGATATGGGTTGATGTAGAAAGAGGGGAAGTAAAGATCAACATGAGTTCATCAACTCTTGCAGCTCAAGGATGCCATGCGGCAAACCCTAATTGGTCGTGTGAGGTCTCACAACCACAGACGACTGCTGAGTGAATCTCTACGAACAGCGAACACTGCCTTGACCTCTTGCTCGCAGCTGTACAGTAAGCACCAAAAGAAAATCTTGATACCAGACTGTATCTACGCTTTCACAGTTATCGGTGTAGAGCGAGAAAGCTAGCGAGATTTGACCGCAAAGGCGTGACATGATCCAGGAATAGCACCGCATTTTAGCGAGACGCTAGTTGGGTCAGCCAACATCGCCCATCGTCCCGCTGTTGTTAGGCCAGCCGTCGTCAACACCACACCCGTTGGCCAGCAAGCTCCCACTCACCAGCCAGCGCACGCATGAGATGAGGGTCTGACACCACCACGCCGCATAGTCGCCGCAGACGCGCCGCAAATACTCTGCTTGTGGCGTCCAGTAACCACCAACTCCCATCCCACGATCTCTACAATGACGCGCCGTAGCGGGAGCTTGACAACTCGCATCATGGCTTTCCTTTACCGTAACAAGTTCGCCTATTCTCACCCCACAATTTGCCCACGTCGCCGTCCAATCCTCCTTGGGCTTGGCTCAGGCAGACACGCAGAGGAAGTGTAAGGCGCTCAGCCTTGTGTCGATTCATGATTGTTGCTGCTCATTTCTTTTAGCGCAGGTGGCTGTGCTTGCCTAAATTTCGAAACGTTGATCCTACAGCACAACCCTTTGGCACATCACTGTCTTTGTAGAGGCCCTCGTATTGGGCCGCCAAATCTGTGTTGATATTGTGCGGCAAGAAGCTGGAATGGGGAGTCGTTCAAAAGAGCAGCCACTCAATTTGTATGGTTCCACGAGCTGAATTGATAGCTTCAGCTGCGGAGACAAAACGAGCGAAACCGCTCGGACGTGGCTCGCACGCGGTAGAGAACCATCCCCAAGTGGACTGACAACAGATGGGGCCCCGACATGCACGCCCGTCACCGCCGTCTACGAACCCGTGCCACCACCAAACTGCCACACAGCTCCTTCTGATTCCTCGATTAGACGCGGTAGTCCAAGCTTCGACGGCCGTTCTCGACGCCCATCATTCGTTAGGCCTCTTGTTTTGCGCCAAGCTGCTCATCATACCACAGGGGCGCAGTGACTTTTCTCCGAATTCATGGGCCTACTTTCCCCACAACGTGCTGAGGCTGAGCATATCTTTCCCACTTTCGAGCCGCATACTGGACGCCTTCTCACGGATCCAGCGCCATGGGCGCAGGATCTAAGGCCGGTGCGTCAAAGGTTTCATTTTACGGACAGACTTATGTCTGCCTGGTGCCCGGTACCAGTTCATAGCAATAGCACATAAGGGATTACTCGAGCAAGTTCGTCTCAACAGTCTCATAGCTATATATCATCATATTTTCGAGGCGTAGTAGTTGTTATTTCTTCATCGCACCGCCACATCGCCTCCTATCGAGCACTACATATAAGCAAAGAGCTTCACCATTCATCTGAACTCTCACCGACCGATTCGCATCGAAGATCCTTCGCCTACACAAACATACACCACCATGTCACCTATACCAGTAGACAACAACCTCGTCGCAGACGAAGACCTAGCTTCAGTACCCTACTCAGGGTACTGGACAAAAGCCAACATCGCCCTCACCGTCGTCTTCGGCCTCATCTTCCTCGCCATAATCCTCGCCTGCCTAATCTTCTATCTCCACCGCCGAAGCGAAAAGAAGAAGCTCGACAACCGCAAGTCAGACACCGCCGGCCTCCTCGCCAACGAAGACAAGACCAGCATGTTCAGCCGCGTCCGCGCAAGCAGCGTCACATTATACGTCGACTCGGAAGCGGACGCGCGCAACAAGAGATCGAGTACGGATACCATGCATCTCGTTCCACTACAGGTCACGCCGAGTGAGGAGACTAGTGACCCCATCGCTGATAACACGGAGAGCGCTGGTACGGGTGTTAGTGCGATGAGCCGACAGAGTAACGGTACGCTTAGTACTATGGTACTCAGTCCCATATCGCCGAGTGGTGACGAGGGTGACATGAGTTTACGGCCGGCACCGACAGGGCGTGCACGCAGTACGAGTACGGCGAGTCAACGGGCGCGATACTACGAGTCGACGCCTATGATTGCGATGCCACAGATTCCGAAGATCATCCACACAACGTCGGAGTAGAGAGGGGGTAGGAGCATACATGTAGGCCCTTAGGGAGGGTGGACAGTAACGCGGAGGTCACGAGCTGAAGATTCCGATGTCTTACTCTGTCTTTCTGTTGTTTCGCGATTCCGCGGTCTTTTCTGCACAAGCATTATTATATACCCTGTCTACGCTCCTGCACCTGGCATAACACGCAGTCGAGTATTATCTAGACATTTCTATCTCATCTCTTATGAAAGCAAAAAGTTGAACAATCTATTTTGATCTTATGCCAGGCCGTTAACTAACAGTTGACTTCATCACTATATTACGTCTAGCATATACTACTATGTATACTCGCCCCCAAATTCTTCTTCCCGGTTGCCTGGTCGTTGTTGTATGTGTTGGCATCTCGGCTCACTCGGAGTGAGCACTAACGACGCGCATCGATCCCCAGCCCCGGTAAAACCTCTGGTCTAGGACGAGACATGTAAGCTTTAAATGACATCATGTTCAATGCTGCATTCACCCCAGAGCTATTTGACTCTATGAGCAGAAAAGCTCCTACATGCTTATCAGGGTACACAGCCGAGAACACGTTCTGTGCCGCTCACCTTAAACCAGCCAGCTGAGAGTTCGTTGATTTCGTAACAAAGGACTTCGCCTTACAGTCAATGTCATAGATATCATACTCGAAGTACATCCCAAAGAGCAGCACGTCCGATCACGTCTGGACAAACACCCTCTACATCACTGACGCATATCCAAAAGCCATCTCCAAGGCGATCTCGGCATCACCGATCAACAGCCCAAACACAGACCCACGGCACAGTTCAATAAGCGGCGAAGTTCACACAGGGGATCGCTGTGCCACAAAGACCTCTTGCATGGCCCGACTGTGCCGTACGCGTTACCGCACCCGCGGATCGAGCCAAGAGAATGTGCCACAAGGGATATGTTAGCCTTGATAACAATGAACGGAAGAAAAGGGGATACGTAGCCACACATGATATCACCGTGGCGGTGAAGTAGGAAGCTGAAATATGTGCACACAGTAATGAGTCAACGTGAAGCTTTCTCGATATACATGCTAAACCAACGCTCTACACGCTGCCCCATCCGTAGACCTATCGCTAACAATGCAACACAAAACAATGACTAAACCGCTCAAAACATACCAATACAGATACCCGCATCCATATCGCGACCGCACGAAGCGAGTCTATACAGAATGTGAGCCCCGGGACCGGCTTCCCGAACTCCCATCGCTCTTAACCCATCATCAGCCGTTGAACAGTTGCGACAAGCGAAGACCTACTTCTTCGCAGCATTAACAACCTCTTCACTCAACTCCCACTCCGGGTCCCAGTGCACATACTGCGTCATCGCCACAGCAAGCAGCCACTCCGTTTTGACAATGCGCGGAATCATGTTTTCACGCTTAGCCAACTCGCGGAATTTAGTCCAGTTGGTAAACTCCTTCTTGTCGGCGTCGGAGATGAGGTACAAGACGTCTCCTTCGTCTTCAACCTGGTTCTGACTGACCTCCTTGTCAGCAGGGTCGAGTCTACGCTTTGACGCGGAGACGGTGGTCGGTCTGCCCTTCCAAAGCACGCATCTCCCGCCGTTGACTTCGACAATGTCTTTGTAGGTTTCGAAGCCGCCGCCGACTTTCTCTGTGCAGAATACTGTCCAGCCTTTGAGGAGGCGCTGCTTGTTCTGCTTGGCGCGTGAGAGGGCTTCGCAGAGCCGGAAGTTGTTGGCCTCTTCGAAGTCTCTAGCTTGGAGGAGGTGCTTTTCTGCCGGGGGAAGCTTGTTGTTCTTCAGCGCGAAGTCGAGGTAGCTGGTTGATACGAGGGTGGGGGCGCAGGCTAGGGCTGCGATGAACTTCTTCGTTCGGACGGGTTGCGGGGCGCAGACTAGGTCTACCTTCTTGAAGTCGTCGGTGATGAAGAGGCCAAGCTCTCGAAGGCGCGCTTTGTCTTTTGATTCCTTCTCGGGGTTGTTGGC